ATTTCCGCTCCAGGAAGCTGTGGGGGATGGAGTGCCCTGACCAAGAAAGCAAGTGAGGAGGAGGAGGGAGAAACCAGCAGGGTCCAACCTGCTGCTTAGTCACATGAGTTAAGTACAAGCACCTCACCAATACACCTAACAAAGTGAAAGTGATTGGTGGCTTTGGAAAGAGCAGTATGGGTGAAAGGGTGCAGCTGAATGTGCATTAGAATAGTTTCAGCAGACATGAAGAGGTCAGGAAATGGAGAGAGTAAGTATCAACAAGTATTCCAAGGCCTTTTGTCAGGTGAGCAAAGAAATGTGGAGGTGACTACCGGCAGAAACGAGTGGGGAGGGTTTTAAGTTGTGAAAAATACTTGTATGTCTGTAGGCTGATGGAAATTATTTTGTGTAGAGGGAATATTAATGATTTAAGAGACAGAGAGGAACATTGCTGGGGCTTGCCCTTGACCAGGCACAAGGGAGTGGGATGCAGAATACAAATGAGAGGTGATGGGTGGGAGCATGGACAGCTGACCAGTAACCAGAGAGAGGGTGCAGAATAGGGGTGGGGAGGTGGGTAGTGGGAGTTGTGGAAACTGTCTTGTGATTGTCACTTTTTTCAGTGAAGGAGAAATCGTGGTCATCAGCTGAAAGTGAGGATAGAGAGGGAGGTAGTGTTTAAAGGGAGAGGAGAAGGTGTGAAATAGCTGTCTAGGAGGATGGGACCATGAACAGATGATGAAAATGTAGTACAATTTTTTGGCAGAATTAAGAGCCCACTCGCATTGTGTTATCATGAATTTAAGATGAGCCTACTCGACATGGCTGTGCACAGCCACATTCTGCTGCGAGTCTCTGAAAGTGGTGTCAGGGAAGAGTAGCCAAGTGAGTGCCTTAAGGAAGGAGAGGGATGGGGGAGCTGAGAATATAAGGCAAGGGATTTTGAGAATTTGGACATGGCCATTGAAAAGTAGTGAAGAGAGAAGAGGTAACGTGAGAGGGGTGAGAGATAACATTGGGAAGTTTAGTAGATTTGTGGGTCCTGGTGAAAGGCAGTCAAAATAGGGGTCCTAGGGGGAGTAAACCAGAAAGACAGGGAAGAGTAGAAAGAGGTGATAACTGAACTTGGGTTTCAGAGGGTTTACAATCAATGGTAAGGACAAGAGCTAGACTGGTGGTTCTCCAACTTTAATGTGCATATAAATCCCTGAATTTCTTGTTGAGATGCACATTTTGATTCAGTAAGTGTACTTGGGCAGACCTGAGATTCTGCATTTCTGTCAGGCTTCCAGGTGACGTAGATGCTTCTTGTCAGGGATCTCATTTGAGAGAAAATTAACTAGAGTGGTACTCCTCAACCCTAGCAGTAAGTGACAGCCCCTTGAGGAGTTTAAAAAATATGGGTGCTAGAACAGTCTTGATGGTGAGTCAGGGTTTCTGTAGGTTAGATTTAATTTCTCTGGATTGGATGTAGAATTGATATATTATGAACATCCAAATTAGTCTACAGTGAGGCCAGGATTGAAAGTCTTTGGCCTTTAAGTGTGAGTGTCTTAGAGACCAAGATCATGGCAGGAAGGAGTGCTGTGTACTTGAGAGGCCAAAATTGGAAAGTGTCATGTTTGTCAGGTTATTAAAATCATTAGAAATTATGACAGAAAATGTGCTGGATAAAATGACTGTGAGTACAGAGGTCTGTAGATGACTACAAAAAATATAGAAAGTGGGTGACATAATCTGATGACATGAGATTCAAAGCAAAGCTGTTGGAGAGAATGGTCTAGAATAGACAGGGCAGAACAAGGAGGACACTTACGCCCAGGCCCACTGTAATTTGGATTTGGGAAATCAAGCAGCCACCACGTGAGAGAACCCCAGAAAAAAAACACAGTAGCATCATGAAGAGCTAGGTTTTAGTTAAAGAAAAATGAAGAAAACAATCTAAAAAGAGTGTGAAATTTTGGAGTATTTTGCTGCCTCCCAAAGAAGCTTGGAAGGCTGTCGAGACTTTTGCAGGGCGGGAGATGGGGATGCACCAAGCAGTATGAGGATTCTAGTGTGGGCGGTGAGTGATGACCTGAGCTTCTTGTGGAGATGTGGTCTCAAAGCAGGACGTTGCGGCAGCTGGGAGTACTGGCATGAAGGGAACAGGGGTAGGGGAGCTACCAGAAGCTGGAGGAGCCCACGGCTCACCTCTCCATGCCTATGGCTATTTCTAAGCAGTAGTAAACCCTCTGTTTCTTTAACCAAAGGCATTACAAGTGAACCCGGTGTGGAAGACAGAGCAAAGCCAAGCTTCTCTGGTTAAAGCCAGAGTTGGGGAGGAGGGCAGTGCCCCCCCCCAGGACCCTGAGGGCATCCTCAGTACTTCTGTACTTCTGGGGTTCTTCAGGGGCCCTCAAAACTCAGGTCATAGTCACTGCTCCAGCACTGGCAAGAGACTTGAGAAAAATGTGGAGTGATGTATTTGAAAGTAAAGATGGTTTACCCAATAATCATGGAGGTCTTTTTAGATCTTGTCAATTGTGCAGATCGCTCTTTTTCTTCCATCTAATAAACTTTCAAATAAACAAGTGGTTTGCAATATCCCTTGGGATCTCTTAATGTCACTTATGATCAGGATTATATCACTGTTATTAATTGATGTGATTTAAGTAGAAGAAACCATAGTTTTCAACAGTCATAGGTTAGATCGGATTCTCCAGAAACAAACCATGAGGCCAAGATTTGAATGCAAGAGGTTTTTTTTATGGAAGCATTCATAGGAGAGAGAACCTTACAGGTGGGTGGAGAATGCTAGACAGAAAACGAGAAGCCCAGTAAGTTTGGACATGCAGGTGACACCTCAAGGAGATAGCTTCAGCCTCATCCCACAGGGGAAGTCTGGAGAGTAGCAGCTCGGATTCTGACCCCAACTGGATACAAAGCATATTTCCACACCCATGAGACAATGGCTGAGGGGGGGTAGGTTGTGGGGCAGGGGAGCTGTGAACCCCCTAGGCATTTCCAGGCAGGGTCCAGCAGTCTGAGACCCATCTTTCTTTTTTTTTTTTTCTTTTTTTTTCTTTTTTTTTTTTTAAAGATTTTATTTATTTATTCATGAGAGATAGAGAGAGAGAGGCAGAGGCAGAGGGAGAAGCAGGCTCCCCGCGGAGCAGGGAGCCTGATGCGGGACTCGATCCCAGGACCCTGGGATCATGACCTGAGCTGAAGGCAGACACTTAACCGACTGAGCCACCCAGGCGTCCCTGAGACCCATCTTTCAAGGAAAGAGTAGCAATTATGGGTCCTTGAAAGGAAAGTACTAAGAGCACACTCACACACACACACAGTGGATCCAAGACCAACTTGGGGGAGCCCAACAGTGCCTTCTATAAGTGGAAAGCTTTCTTTAGAATGGCATAGATATGCCTACCTAAAGATTAGATTAAAAAATTAATGTCCGCTTTCAGTTATCATCAGTGATAATTAATGATAATTGATCATTATTGTCCTACTTTGTAGCAGTATGAATTTTGCTACCTTCCCTCTTGCGCTTCTAGTGAGATCATACTACTATACACATACGGCCAAATTTTGAGAAAATCCAGGTCAAGAGAGTATGACTCTCTGATCAGATATATCCAAGCATGGCCCCGACTGAATGTGCTGTCTGTAGTTGGAAACAAAATGCATGTTTTCAAACTCCACTGTTTTAGATGGATTCCATTCTGTTTCTTACTACCGTAGTGTAAATACCAAGAACGTTTTGCCATTTCAAAATTCATATCACTACAAATAGTTGCTCTTATCTACATCCTCATACGTTTATTTCAGGGTTGTTGTTGGGTTTTGTTGTTCCCTTTAAATTGTGGCCCTTCTTCTAAGGATTAGAGGAGCATTATTTTAGAATCCGTATGTTGGATGTAATTTAGAGCTGTACCACGTCAAACCCACTGACAGATTTAGAGATTAGTTTCCAGACCTCTTGCGGTGCCAAACTCCTTAAGATTTTGAAAATGGCAACACTATTGACACTCTACTGCTAAAGATTACTTGTATCCATTATCCCATCGCTATAAAAGAAAAGTTTAAGTGTGGCAAATACCAAGGTTGTTTTGCTTTATGGAAAAACCTGTGCATAGAAAAAAAGAAGAAGAAGAAGCAACAGCAATTTATAGAACAAGAAATAATTTATCCTCCATAAGGAAAGCTTATGTAGCTATATCTCCCACCTTTCAATCTGGAAGGATAACATTGCTGTTGCAAAATTGATGTTATTTACATGGAAAAACTAGCTCAGTAGTTTTGAACAGTCATGTATTAGGTCAGGCTTCCCAGAAGCAAACCATGAGGCAAAGGTTTGATGCTAGTGATCCACAAAAAGAAAGCTTTGAGTATGATGTATATGCTATTTGTATTATATTGAAAGTTGATACAAAACCTTTTTTTCTCCAAGTATTTTGGCTTAAGTGCATCTCCAAATACGTGTTTGCTACATTTTAATGTAAGTGCATTTGGGGGGAAATTTAATCCATATGTTTCAGCAAGGTTACCCGTAAATCATCCAAATGTGGGTTTATTAGAGCTACATGAGGTCTAAGATGCCTTTTGAGCTTTTTTTTTTAATAGTCTTTGCGTTCTTTTGTGAAAAGCAGCGAGTAAGTTGCCAAGAGTAAACAAATCGAATAGCAAAAGGTTTGAGTTGAGTTTGAAATGCTTAGCCCCTTATTTCTGATTGGGTTCTGAACTTGGCAGTGCGCATTCCCTGTTCCTGCCCGCAGGGCGAAGTGAAAACAATTTGAACACTATATTTCCCAATTGGTTCATTGACATTTGAGAATAACGGAGTACAGACAGAATCAGCCTGTTTGGCAGGTGAGTGATACTTAACATGACTTCAGAAAGTTACTTCCTCTCGGTTTGCAGAAGCTCAGAGCATGAAGCAATGTTATACAAATGATAAAGCTCAAGTCAGGACAAACTGCCATGGAAGGATCCATACTGGGGATTTATCTATTTCTCTTGTGCATCTTTAGGTGGAATGGTTGAAAAATGAAGACATAATTGATCCTGTTGAAGATCGGAATTTTTATATTACCATTGATCACAACCTCATCATAAAGCAGGCCCGCCTCTCAGATACTGCCAACTATACTTGTGTTGCCAAAAACATCGTTGCCAAGAGGAAAAGCACGACTGCAACTGTCATAGTCTATGGTGAGTGAGCTGTCCGAGTCTCAGTCTAGTTCATGTCAAACTACCGTTTCTCATTTTAATTTAAAACATCCCGGAGAGGCCCCTTGGCAGTCCTCATCGCCACTCTCTCCCAGCTTCGGGCTCCGACAGTGAGGTTTACCTGCTTCCCCGATACTCATAGAAAGACTAGACTTGGAAATTCCTAGCCCTTGTCAGTGAGCTGATGGGGAAGATGAAGGAAGTCTTCCTGAGTGCCTGCACCAGAGCCAGCAGATGTCCCTGCCTCTCTAAGCCCTCCCCTCTCCATACCCCAGACCACCCAGAGCCAGAGTGAGTTTGGAGATGGAGATGCTTGAGTCAGCTTGCTCATACTTCTGTGGGCCTTGGCTCAGTCAGGTAAACGAGCTGACCTGTTCCCCAAACACATCAGAGCAACATTGACTTCCTGGAATTTGCTTCACACTCTCCCTCAGGGAGACCTAGAGTGAAGGCAAGCACTGCTATCCCCGTGGCCCTCATCCTAACCACGTGGCAAGGTTCAACATGATGATTTCTTCCGGAAGCTTCCCTCCCAGTCTCTGGTCCTTTCTAGTCCAGCTCATCTCCGACGGGGCCTATCCTTTCTCCAGAAATACTCAACAGTCCCGCTCCCAATTTTGCTGTAGCGTGGGATGCTTTTATTTCTCTGCGCGTTTTAGCGCTCAGTTGTCTCCCAGGCATTCTATGGGTAGTTTCATTTCCCCAGCTGTGCGGTAAGCTCCGTTATAGACGGAGAGACCGCTCTGTCTGTCTGTGCATTTCTCACGATGTCGGACATACAGAGGCCCTCATATTCTTGATGATTTCTTGTACCAGAGGTGACCTAACAACCTGGGAAGTATTTTGAGGGTATGCCCCTCTTACCTGAGATGCCTGGGTCGCACAACCCGCTTGGAACTTAAGGAAGCTCCTCGTGGCTGCGTTGGTGTCAAAGGCCATTCCAGGGGCCTTCGGGTCTGGGTGACTGGGAAGCAGGGGTCGCTATTGGCAAGTATCTGGCTCGTGGTACTTACAGCCGATAGTGCCCTTCGGATGGAGGTCCTTGTGCTGCAAGGAGTTATGAGAAACAAGAGCCACTGTGAAGTTCCAAAGGCTGAATATGGGGACGCTTTAAACCTCTCGTGTCCATTACAAGACAGATACAGACTATTTTTTAATCCTCTGAGTACTCTGAGCCTGAATTTCCTCGTCAAGATAATGGCTCCGTTAAATTGTAAGCAGTTGCCTCTCTCCAGTCACAATGAAATGATCCTCTTTTTGTCTTTTCCTAAAGTGGCTGAAGGGCTTGATTAACATCATTTCAAGGGCAAAAGAGAAACGGAGCACATCACAGCACGTAGTAATCATAGATAACTAATGAGGACAGACTCTCTGCGTATGCATTATATACATGTTTAATATACATGCAAATCTCTTTTCCTATGTATAGCATGCTTTCAATATCTATAAATACAAGCTGAACATTGTTTCTAGAAAGACTCAAACACAAGGAACTTGAGCATGTTGAGTTCAGAAAGCAGCATTGGACTAGGGGTCAGGAGGCTTGTGCTCTCAGACTAGTTCTCCCACTAACTGACCTTCATGGGTCACTCGACCAGGATGCTGGGAGCCCGTGTCTCCTTCTCTGTAGAATGAGAGAATAAGTCTGGGACTTTCTCATTCTTTTTTTTTTTTCTCTAGAAGTTTATGATTATTCATTTCTCGTTAAAATCCTACCAGAGCAGTACACGTATAGTATAACCCCCAATATTGGCCTGCAGGTATGCTAGTGAGCAATTTATACTGACAATTCCATGACATCTGGTTTTGTAAAGCTGAGCAGGTTAAGTTGCATTTTGGAACACTGACTGAAACTCAACCTATCAACCATCTGTTTGTCCTTTTCATGGCCCCGTAAAGTCAGTTGTCCAAGGCTCCTAGATGAGGCTCACCAGAAACCCACAGCAAAACATATACATCTAATGAGTATTTCGTTTTCAAGTCTGTTGTGTATATTTATTTTTGTTAGTATCCATTTGTGGATTGCAAATACATATCCGTTCTAGAAAGTTAGGGAAACACAGAAAAGGTCAAAGAAGAAAATGCCCATAATCCTGTCATCTTGTCATTCAAAAATAGCTTTCAAAAAGGTTGATATGCATACTACTGGCATTTTCTATGCATAGATAAGATTTTAAAATAAGGGGGTATAAATATATTTTTACTTTAAACATAATGCTGAAATAGTCATATATTATTAAATAGACTTCTCTAGCACCATTTCTAAAGGCTGCCTACGTGTCAATCACATGAACAGGTATCTACTTTACCATTTTCCTATTGTTGAACATTACAGTTGTTTACAAGTATTTATCTTTATATAGAAAATAACTGCGATGCAAAAGCATTCTTGTCTGTGTCTGTATATATAACACATTCATGATGATTTCCCATTGCATAGGTTTCTAGAAGAGGAGATGTCGGGCATATGATGTGCACCTAGAAGGTGTGTGCTGCCTGAATGTCTAGCCCTCTTTATGATCAGGAGGCAGACACTCATTCTCGTTGTGTCAAGTTTTAACTACCAGCAAGCAAATGCTTAATTACAATAATTGAATCTCAACTCACATAATGTAAATATTAAAATATATCAGAGTATTTTCTAGAAGGAGATCTCCAGAGATGAATAGTGAACATAGCGTCAGAATGTAGGTTTTATAGTCATACCTATCCTGAACTCTCCATCAAACACCATAGTGAGCCTTTACACACAGCATGGGTGTCCATTTCAATTACATAAACTAATTGCCAATTCAATCAAATAGCTACTCGATTCGTTTAAAATCTAGCAATATCAAGACTTTATTTTTTAACCAGGTTCACTGGGTTATTGAAACTGACTACAAGTCCTTAAAGGGTTGTAAAGTTTACATATGCTAAAGAAAACTGATCAGTCATCTGCTATTAAGAAAAAGCTACATGATTTTATTCAGTTCTCATGCTTCAGATCCACCTGCAGCCTTGGCATAAGGATGTAAACATTTATTATTTGTGATAAGCTGTCAAAAATAATTTTTGGAGCTTGACTAGGTAAGGGGAATATATATTTTTAAGAAGACTAGCCAAGGAAAATAGAATACAGTTCTATTTACTTTTCTGAGTAGGTGAGTAAATTTGGGTAATTCATTTTATTTATCTCTATGCTTAGATTCTTCTGCTCTTTGATAATACTTTGAATGAAATGATGCTCCAGTTCTCTTCTAGCTTTGAAATTTTTTATCTTTTTTATGGTCACTTAGCAGATGAGTTTTTGTTTATGTGTTGTGTGTAGTTTGTGTATCTTTGTGTGCATGAACACACATGTAATTCACATTTTGTATTTACCTCCTTCCAGTCAATGGTGGCTGGTCCACCTGGACAGAATGGTCTGTGTGTAATAGCCGCTGTGGACGAGGGTATCAGAAACGCACAAGGACCTGCACCAACCCAGCACCACTCAATGGTGGTGCCTTCTGTGAAGGGCAGAGTGTGCAGAAAATAGCCTGTACCACCTTATGCCCAGGTAAATAAACCAGCGTTCTCATTCCAAACGTGTCCTCTCACTCTAGGAATATGTTTTAGGGCATGTACACAAAGCCTTATTCTTGACCTAAATGTGTGATAAACATTATTTATATCTATCATACCATTCAATGCTTACACTGCTGAGAAATCAAGTATTTTTCCCCAAAACAGTACTTAAATTTATTACCCAAACATGCAAAATAGAATAAAACAGGAGATTAAACACTTAGGGACATGATCATTCTCTATTACTCAACAAAACTGCTGGAGCCAAGATTATAGGTTCTGTAATTCAAGGGATTTAGGCAGCACTGAAAGCCACACATTTTAGGAATACAACACTTGATCTTCAGACAGCCATGGACATTATTGGAATTAAAATTTAGAAAATGTTTTAGATTGAAATATTTGATATTTGATGTCAGTTTCTGGACAAGGGCAAACAAAACATTTGGAATGAATTAAAAGGAAGGCAAAGCTTTGTGACACATGGGCTAATGGATTTTGAAAATACAATACAGTCAGCTCTTTATTATCTGCACACGTTGGTCACCTATTTTTGTTATTTGCAGTGGTATCTATAGCGCGATTGCATCCCTCTGCCACTGAGCATTTTTTTCGCTGTCTCATATTGTTACCAGCTCTTACCCTAGGCAAATTGAAGGTGGTATTTGCCAAACTCAAAACCAACTAAAATGCTTAATTATATAATATATTAAAAAGTTAAGCTAAAATTTTTTTTAAATAATCCATAAATTCAGTGCATTCCATTGGGGTAGCTATTACATTATCAATTTCATTATTTATTTGTATTTTATTTTTTTGTGATTTTGTTATTTAGAAACAGTCTCCTTACTTCTCTTTATTTAGCTTACTTTTTGTCTTATCCATCCTTTAATAGATAGTTTATCAGAGATGGGTTATAGGAATGAACTGTGGAGAAAAATATAATCTATATTTTGTATTCCTAAGTGTCCATTTTCAAATATCCAAACAATATCCCTTTGGGAGATTTTGTTTGTGTAACAAATTTTGACACTTAGCTAGGTTTAGAATTTCAATATTTTACCTTATACTCTCCTATATTTTATCTAGGTATTGACTTCTACAATTAAAAATGCATTGAGCATTTTGAGTTGAAATAAAAGTGTGTGTGTGTGTGTGTGTGTGTGTGTGTGTGTGTGTACCTTAGGATGATCTAGGTCAAAGCAAATGTCTTTTCTCCAAATAGCTGAGAGTTGCTTAAATAGCCAACTCTGGATGATTGAAATATTAATGCTTTCATCATTTTTTATATGGGCATGTTTATATCTCTATACACATTATACATAATATATTTACACAATAATTTGAATATGAAATCTATGGATTTCCTAAACTATGTAGACTATTAAAATGGATATAATTACTATGAATATATAAGTGTAAGATGTTATGTATAGTAGATGTTCAATAAATGATGTTTGACATTGTTTTATATTGAATTCTAGATAATCATAATTATTTATGTACTTCAGGAAATTTTTTTAATTTAACTGCTTTTTAATATTCTTGTCCTATTTAAATAAGAATTTTTAAAGAATGCATTTTAAGTGTGACTTTAGTGAAATTTACTGTATTTTTTTCAACTTAGAATTTAAGCTGTGTGTTTTAAGATAGAGATATATCAGCTCAGTATCATTGCGATTACTAACAAGCCAGCAACAAAAATTAGGGAGAAAGTTAGTCAATTCTAAATGACTGAATCACAGTAAAAAATAGGAATATATGTAAATATTATTTGTAAAATAAAAATAGAAATATATATGTCATCAAATAATGGAATAGAATTATCAAATAATATATGGAAAATAACATAGTCATTTCAACAAAGCATTGCAGAAGGGCTCAACAGAATCAAGCTGCCGGATAAAAAAGTAAAATGAAAAGAGTATTTAAGACATGGATGATAGATAGATAGATAGATAGATAGATAGATAGACAGATAGATAGATGATAGGTATGGATGGATGGATGCATGGAAGGATGAGTCAGTGAGTGGACAGATAGTCGTCTTCTCCATTATACCAGCCTCTTCTCCATATCAACACACAAGTTTACTTGCACTGCCCACATGACACTATGCATGAAGAAATCTTGGATCTAAAAAGAGGTCCCCTAATTCTCAAAGCAAAATCCAAAAGCTTCCCTTCTAACAGAAAAAAAAAAAAAAAAAAGGCTCCATCATGATCTACTTTTATGTGCCTCCTGGTCCTCACCAGCTCCTGGTGACAACTTCGGTTTCTGCGTCTCCCTTGAAGCGATTCCGTGGCTTGGTCAGTAAGGACACAGTCACGCCCCCAGGAAGGAAAGTTCACAGAACCCTCATGATGTATGTCACGCATGCTCACTTCCCAGTAGTGGACATGGGTGCAGTACTCCTTGATGGGACACATCTTCTTCAGTTTTGTTTTGTTTTATCTACACGTGAGCTCTACTCCCTTCCCCCCTCAAGTAGCTGCTTCTCCCTCTGACCTTCTGCTGGGTTTTGTGTGTGTGTGCGTGGCAGTGGACGGCAGGTGGACTTCATGGAGCAAGTGGTCTACCTGTGGGACCGAGTGCACGCACTGGCGCAGGAGGGAGTGCACGGCGCCCGCCCCCAAGAACGGAGGCAAGGACTGTGATGGCCTCGTCTTGCAATCCAAGAACTGCACTGATGGGCTTTGCATGCAGAGTAAGTCAATTTGAACAAACAAAAGGCAGGTGCGAGGCCTGATGTTTAACAATTTGGATTTCTTGGAAATATTAGAAATTAAGAATTCCGAACAAAACAAAAAAATGCAGTAATATGCCAGTATACTATCTCTGTCTCAGAATTGAGAGAGCTAATTCCCCAGGAACCAGAATGAATAATAACTGTCCAGTTAACAAATGACATACACAATATTGTGTTCTCATGAGCAAAGAGTGATTTAGTCATATCCATGGGGAAACTGTCACTCTTTCCAGACCGAGGAACCATTCCTTAGTTTTATTTGAATTAATAAAAGGGCACCCTAAACTCCTCAGAGTAGAATCACATGACTTCGAAAAAGTAAGCTATTTATTCCTAATTCATGACCATTACCGAACCAATGTCCATGAATGTGAAATACATATAAAGCACAGGAAACGGTCCTGCAGATAGATTTACCAATTTACAGCAAATGCTTAGTGGGAGCATCTCCACAAGTCCTTGAAAATGCTAGGTTTGTGTTAATATTTGTTTAAGGAAGCAATATTAATAAAAACAAAAATTTTAAAAATGAGTATAGAAGATTGGCTCGGGAATATAATGGGTGAGTAGGCTAAATATTCCCCATTTTTCATGACTTCGTTTCTTAGCTTTTCTTAATGAGATGGTAGTTTGATTTCCATACTTGCAAACTCTTACCCCTTTTAGGAGCCCTAAGATATACAAAATTTACCATCTTACATGACCATGAATTAAGGTAGTAAAAATTGTTCTGATATCACACCTATAGAGATGAATGGATGCTATCTTTGGATCTTAACTAAGAGCCACGAGATGTTGACATTTATTATAACATATTAACATTGCTTGCAGAACACAAGGAACCACATATATTTGTGTAGAAGTATTTATATTTATCATTTAAGAATAAAATATTTCACTTTCACCACATTTATGAAGTTCTGTTTCCCTTCCAGTGTCTATACACACAAGGCCCTTGAAAAAGAAACCCTTACTTAAAATACAAATAAGTAATGACGTTGCTGACACAGAATAAAAATCCTACAGGCTTATTTTTCTGTCCACAGTATGTTGCTTTCTTTGAGAATTGGCAGCTACTGAGTGTAAAGCACAGCTTCTGGTTATGAGTTTCAGACTGCTACTGTGTATCTCACCAAGTTCCTATTAGAAATGCAAGAATGAAAAGAATATAGCTGTTTTCCTAACCATTAATCCAGAGATACAGGGTTTGTTCCTCTAAGCATGAGTTTGAGTTGAGGATTAAAATAAAAACAGCACACACCAAGTTATTCTTTTTTTTAACATTTTTATAATTTAATATTCTTCTTTTAGTGGAGAACAAATTGATTCATATGATCAAAAAGTAACAATATTTGAAGTCTCTCTCTCTCTCTCTCTCCCCCCTGTCCCTCATCTCTCTCCCTCTCTCCCTCTCTCAATACTGTATTTCAACTTTGGGTGATTTAACACTATTGCTTCTATTGTGCATATTTTAAAATTCCCAAAGCAACCTATTTAATAAGAAATACAATGCTGCAAGATGGAACTTTCGGCCTTTAATTGGTTACACAAAATGACATCTACTAAATTATGACATTTGTCAAATACAAACATGACATATGCAAATTAAGACTTTCATGACATAGCATCCCCTTAGCATCCAGCTTGTTTCTTATGACGCTAATAGAGTTTTTTGTTTAATGTATGGCCATTTGTCAGTAATGATGGCATGAAGTGGTTGTATAAATCAGGAAAGGGAACAAGGCTACAAGAGAGGGTTTTGTTGTTTTCTTTTGTTTGTTTATTTTTTATCAAGTCTCTTGTTAGACTGAAACATTTGAGTGTTTGGATTAAAATCAGTCAGTTAAAAAGCTATTTCCTTTTACAATTCTGATTTGCTATAGTAACAGCCCTACTAAGTCAATAAACTCTTTCATCTGCCCTCCTATATCTACTCTAGAGCAACAGAAAATTGTGCTATTGATTTCCTCAGTGATAAAAACCACAGAGATAGTGCTGCACTGTGTAATGATAGTATTTTACAGTGAAAGTTATACTTTCTACTTACCAGTAAGCTGGGTATTTCTGGCATAGCATTGCACCAAAGTCTTGCAAAGAAATAATACTGCTCTTGGTCCTTATTTTGGAAAACAAAGGCTTTCTAGTAGTGAAAGTACTCAGTTTGCAAGAAGGATGGGGTGTATATTAAGAAATAGATTGGAGGACGGGGCGCCTGGGTGGCTCAGTCATTAAGCGTCAACCTTCCACTCAGGTCATGATTCCAGGGTCCTGGGATCGAGCCCCGGGGCGGTCTCCCTGCTCAGCGGGGAGCCTGCTTCTCCCTCTCCCACTCCCCCTGCTTGTGTTCCCTCTCTCGCTGTGTCTCTCTCTGTCAAAGAAATAAAATCTTAAAAAAAAGAAATAGATTGGAGGTAATAAAGACAGCCAGAAAGTTGCAATTGACAATTAAGAATTATCATTTAATGTTTACTTACTTTAGGAGAATTAGTGTCTTTGAGGCATTAATAGTCTTTCATCAACATTGCAACGTTTATCTCAAAATAAAGCTAGTTACCATTGAACCAAGTATGCTATACGTCTGAAATTGTATTCCTACTTGAAATTGTATACAAATGACTCTGATATAAATGTAGACATGCTGCTAGGTAGGAGAAATTCAGAGTTTATAATAGAGGTAAGTAGCATTCAGAAACCTAGACAATGTAGTGTAGTATATTTTAAAAGCCAAATTGATACTTAAGAGCAATACAATGTGAAATATGTAGAGCATATTACTGTCAATTCTTATTCAGTAATGTGTTCAAAACAGTCATATTCAGGCACATTCCTTCCTTAACCACCTCCCTCAATACAAATAACTTTGACTCAAAATATGCAGAAATATTGGGTAAAATATTAAAACTTAAAAAATATACATATGCACATGTATGGAGTGTGTGTATATGTGTGTCTGAGAAAGAATGAGTCAAATTTGAAAGATAGAGAAATCCTCAAATCATCAAAATAAAATAGGAACTCAAAACTAGAGAGGTAACTGCATGAGTGGATACCAGAATAATCCAGAGGGGCATTGGCTATGGATGTAAATCCTAGGGATTGGGAGTTAGAGGTTTTGTTTTGGCATAGAGGCCGAGGCCCAGAATTTGCACAAGCCTGAGGCTGAGAGTTGAAATCTAGAGCCCTTTGAATAAAGCCCTTTGAATAGAAAATTTTTACCCACCAGCCCAGGGAAGCCACAGGAAAATTCATGACAGAGAAAATAAAAATGAAATCTTCACTTAAATAAAACCTATAATAAAACCACAGTCCTATACCCAGATCTGCTATGGAGTCTAAAATACAGTACTAAGGGAATAAAAAAACAAAAGATATGTAATTAACATAGTTGCTGAAACTTTTAGGGTACCAGCAGAAGCAAACAACAAGCCATTCTCTTGAGTTCTTTCCACAACCCAAGTGCATTGGTCTCTGACAAAAATAGCCCGCTCCTGGAAATGAGATTACAATACGAAGTTTCACATCACCCAAGGGAACAATCTGCTGCAAGAGAGAGTGCACAACACAGTGAGTGAGTTACTTAGCACTCTCATAACATGGACTCAGAGCAATCTGAGTGAGACTATAAAGTAAATAAAAGTAAAAAGACAAACTGTATTTTTAAAAGATATATAAGCACAAATGCAAGAATAGAATATTCTAAAAAGGATAGACAGATTTGGGGAAAAATCAAATGAATGCCTAGAAAGGTAAACAATTGAAAGTTAAAACTCAGTGGGAGGTTAAAAATCAAATCAGAGACAACTTTGGATACAGCTGAAGGGAAAATTAGTCAACTGGAATGTTGATCCCATGAAACTTCTTAGACTACAGGGAAGAAGGATAAAGTAAGTGATTATATAAAAGGGAGGTTAAAACACATGTAGAAGAGAATGAGAATATCCAAATTTGCTCAAGAGAGCAAAATTTAAAAGATTTTCAGACAATTGAAATGGAGAGGGCTTACAATTCACAAACTCTCACTGAGTAAACTACTAAAAATATAAAATAAAAATTGATTCTTTAAAAAAGAGAGACCAATGAAGAGACAGAAAATAAAGATGGAAGTAAATTATTGACAGCCTTAACACGGAATATGGGAAAGTGTGATCTGAGTTAAATTTTTCTAATTTCCATATAGTGTTCAGTAAAAAAAAATAACACTATTTGCATTCAATTCCATTGATTCAAGTTTACCAATTAAAATAGTAAGCCTAACTACACACATAAAAGGTGGGTGTATAAATTCAAAATAAGATTTTTAAGGGCAGGAAAGGAACAACAACAACAAAAAATCATAGTAAATGAAAACAGTAGTTAAGACGGGACAGACAGGGGTGCCTGGGTGGCTCAGTCATTAAGCATCTGCCTTCGGCTCAGGTCATGATCCCGGAGTCCTGGGATCGAGCCCTGCGTCGGGCTCCCTGCTCTGCGGGAGGCCTGCTTCCCCCTCTCCCTTTCCCCCTGCTTGTGTTCCCTCTCTCGCTGTCTCTCTCTCTGTCAAATAAATAAAAATTTAAAAAAAAAAAGAAAGATGGTATAGACAAAGGATCATCATATGTCAGGGGTAACCATGTAAATGAATTAAATTTACCTGTTAAAAGAGGTTCAAAATTGAAAGTTGTAGTAAAAAAATCCCATTTGATACTGTTTAGGAGAGACATACTTAAATCCATAATTATAGAGAAAGACTGAAACCTAGAAAGTGGAACTTAACAGTATAGTGCAAACTTTATTTTAAAATAGCTTTGACTGTCTAATTAGGCCATTATTAATTCAGCTTCATCTCCCATTATGCCTAAGTAACACATGCCAGAGATTGGTATTGCTCATAGTTTTAATTTAGGTGTTTGTTTTTCTTAGACTCTATAGTTTTTACAATATTTAATTTTCTACAGAGTAAGTAATCAAAACTTTTCTAA